GAGGGAGGAATGGGGTACGAGCCCCCGATGGGGAGGACTGGGGTGGCTCTGCGGGCTCCTCGGGGTGGAAGCTCTCCTGCAGCCTCCCGATTGACCCCCCCCTCCGGATGGCAGCCTGTGGCAAGTGGAGCCGGGCTGATGGCCGAGTCCTGTGATATGCCGAGTGTGGGCATTCAGGGCACTCCAAGCCAGGACTGCTTTGCTGTCCCTCATCAAGTTAGACAAGCGAGCGGGGAACCCCTGAGAACTGTCTGTCCGGGGTGGGGGTCGGGTCCCTTTAAACACAGCCCTTGGCTAGCCTGAGACAGCAGCTCCACGCTCTAAGTCCTAATCTGATGCCCTGCCGGCACTGCTTCCGGCCATCCTTGACCTCGGTTCAGGGTCCACTCAATGTGGACATGCTAGTTTGAATTAGCAAAACGCTAATTCGAACTAGTTTTTAAGTCAAGATGCACTAATTCGAATTAGCTTAGTTCGAATTAGCGCTGTAGTGTAGACATACCCTTAGAGATTAAAAATATATATGTTTATAGTATCATGAACTTTTGCAGGCAAGACCCACTTCCTCAGATGAGCAGAGTGGAGAAAAAAGGGGGGAACCTCACAATATATAACAGACAAAGAAGGGAGGGGAGGGGGAAATATCTATCAATTGTAGTGGAGGTGCTAATGAGGCTAATTGAAGTGCCCCATACTTAGCTTTTGATGTCAGTTGAGTGTTGAATATAATGGCCCATAAAGTCTTTGTTCAGGCGCAGAGAGAGAGAGAGAGAGAGAGAGAGAATGTTGAATATAATGGCCCATACAGTCTTTGTTCAGAGAGAGAGAGAGAGAGAGAGAGAGAGAGAGAGTGTCAAATTTGCAGAAGAAGGCCAATTCCGCAGTTTCGCTCTGTAGTTGGTTTTGAAATTCCTTTGTAGAAGAATAGCTACTTTTAAATCCATGACTGAGTGCTCAGGCAGGTCAGAATGTGCTCCTATGGGTTTTTGTGTATTACCCTTTCTGATATTTGATTTGTGTCCATTTATCCTTTGTCCAGTTTGGTCAGTATACATGGCAGACGGGCATTGCTGGCACTTGATGACATATATTTCCCCCCCCCCCCTTTTTTTTCTCCAAGGTGCTAGAGAACTACTCATTGTTTTTTTAAAGTTACAGACTAACACGGCTGCCCCTTTGAGACCTTTTGGCTAGGAATGTTTAGTTAGGACTCGGGCTTGGAGCACAGAACATGGGCCCTATGATTTGACTTTAAGACAGGAAGGTGAAGGCCAGGGCACCGAGGCAATGGAAGGAGACTGTGGAGAGAACATGAGCTGTTTTCTAACCCCCAAGGAAGGTAGATTGGAGACTCCATTTGCACAGGACTTCCCTGACCCTACTCTGGACGCTACTTTGCTCACTTGTATCCAAATTGTCTGTATCCGCAAACTGCAGGAGGAGTTCAGGATGAGCTAAGAGATGCCTCCAAGAGTTTATTGTCACTGTGCTGCATAGGTCCATTGCAGGATCAATGTACAAGGGATTTCCTGCTACAATTCCTGTGCCTGTGTCTACACCTTTCAAATGAATCCCCTTAGTCTAAAGTTGCTAAAGCAAAAACATCAGTAAGACAAAACCTTCAATTCTGTATAAAACAAAAAGACAGAATATACGAGAGGGGGCAAAGAGCTTTCCCTCTCCCACTTCACCCCCATTACATGACCTGTGCAAAGGACAGGAACAATTGCGCTCCCTGCATTCAGGGGGGAAGCAGTACTTCAGGCCCTCTTCACTAGCTTGCAGCACATGCTAAGTGTGTGAGTGGAACTTGCAGGGGACTGGGCTACATGACCTCTTGGGGTCCCTTGATGCCCTGTGATTCTATGTTGCCCCACCAAAGCACAATGTGCCATGTCTGTAGGCTTCCAAAGCACCATGAGGTGCCCTGGAGAAATCTGTTTCTCTCAAACTCTCCCTAAGATGCCTCAGTGGGGTGCGGCACTGCTGTACTTTATTGCCCAGTAAGTAGTGGAAGTGTTGGTAATGCTGCTAGACAATACTGACTGTGACATTGAGAAGCTTGCAGGATCTAGCCCATGAAGTGACCCTCTTGAGAAAGGACACAGCAATTAAGTACAGAAATGTTCCCAAAAACATGAAAACCCCAAGTGAGCACAGCTATGGAAACGTCCTCATGTATTGAAGTCGTTTTCATTTTTAATCCTGTCAGTGGAAAAATTGCCTGTAGAAAGTCATCATCTTAGTAATTTGTTAAGTAGAACAGCCCAGATCTTATCACTGACGAAGTGAACAAACAGATGGGTGTGCTTACAGGGCCACCTGACCTGTAATGAATGCTGGGTTCCTATTCGTGGAACAGGAGATGCAGGAATAAATCCCATCTTCCTGTGGAAAGTGACATTCCAATGCTTATTGCTCCTCTGCAAAATTTTGAAACTAGCCTCTAGGTGGCACTCTTGTATCAAGGAACTCCAGCTGTTGGCCAAAAAAAAGTTGAGCACAAAGTGGCAATGAAATTCAGGAGACAGAACATTTGTGGAAACTGGGACGTGGGAACTCTGGTCAGACACACCACCATGAGTCTGTGATAGATCCTTCACCATTGTTCCCTTTAAATACTGACCTTTAGTTTTGCCTTTCATGTATAATTTTCAGCTAATGCTTGTTCTTTCTCTGTGAGCCTGTGGTTACCATGCTGAGCCTGAAAAGTAAGTGTTGTCAGATTTTGCAATTTTATTGAGAGTCTTGCCATATCTGGCTGGGTTTTAATTGGCTTTTTTCCCTTAAAGCTCCAACTCCTGGAATCCTGTTATAAATAGGAGGGAGTCCACTTACTTTTTTATTATTATTTTATTTTTTAATGTAATTTTCCTTCAGGGCTGGTTGAAGTTCAGGAATTTCCAGTATACAGAAAAGTCTAACATTTGAAGTTTCCTTCCATCTGGATCAGGTGAATAATCAAAATTTCTCAGGAAACAAAATTTCCCAATGTTTTTGTTTCTGTAAGATTGAAGTGCTTCCTTTGGACTTTATATCTTGCATAATTATAAAAGTCAAAGCCCTTTAATACAAATATTTGACAAGAATGTCACAACAGTGTTCCTGCAACACATTTTGTTTACATTGAATCAGCATTTCCATATGGAAAATTCTTCCATTG